TATTATTTACACTGTATTGCTATGTAGACTATTTTGGGCAAAGAAGTTGTAGAAAACATTTAAGCAGAGAGTGTATTAACCCGCAGAAAAACCGAGAGCATTCTTCAGAACGAGCATCTATTGGAGAGTTAAGGAGCAATTTAGGCGAAATGTATTAAAAGGGGAAAGACAATTATCACAGCGAAGTCTAAATGTTAACCTCTTGGGGCGAAACCACAGCGAACACGATGTGGAAGAGGAATCTGACTATCCGATACTACATACAAACTGTAAACGACGGCTACGACTACTCTCGATTTAATGATTTTTCTATTAGTATAAAATCTTTCCTAATTTTATACTTTTGAAAATGATAAATGTTACTGTACATTACGTTTTTTAACAATCGAAATGGCTGGGAAAATATCAACAATTAATAAGACTTTTGGAAAACTGTGATGAAACCTTTAAAGTTTAGTTCTTAAACAGGAACTAACTAGTTAAGGAAAAAGTAAGTTCTCACTTTAAATAGTACACAAAACTATTCATTATATAAACACAAAACTTACTTTACAATACAGTTCGTTCTTTAATGATTATATTTTTAGTCAATTCAGTTAATAATTATTTCACATATTAAAATAATCTTTCTTGCCTTCATCGAAAGTACAATGTATTGGGATTTTAGAGAAAAATGCCATTTTCTGAACTGTTCCTTAAGCCTGGTTTGTTTACGTAAGAAAGCTGTCGCGAGGTTTGCACGTGACATTTGCACTTCCACGGAATCTTAATGAGGCAAGGAAACAAACAGATAAGCCTTGTGAAACAAGAGATAATGTTATAAGGAGTAAACGGCGTACATAGTGCATACACTAATTAATTCCACACCGTTTTCATTACAGTTTGCAGAATCGTAAGCATTGTTTTCGCTGTTTTACGAAATTTTCATATGTAAGCATTGTGAAAAAATTGCAATGCCAAAGAACTCCAGTATTGTCTCCCTTGAAAGGTATGCCCAACCTTGACATGATGCAAGTAAATCATATTAGACAACAATGTTGAATGCATTTCACAGTCAGTGTAAACGTAAAGCTCTTATCCAGTAACGAGTTTTTAATTAGAGAAAAACTCTTTCTTAATTGTGAGTTTTGCAACTGTGCCGCCAAACCTATCAATTGATTCTAGAGATTAACCGAGACCTGTTGAATGAGATCGCACATGGGAATACACGTGCAGTTGTATTGCTTTAGGCAAGAATGGATCTACTTTCGCGTTTTCTCGTCGTACCTGCACTCACAGATCCTTTCTTCTCCAAACGCATGTGTGCTAAATATCTGAGCTAGTTGGAGATCTAAGTGTCTCGCAATTTTTTGAGCTAATTACTCCAGCGTTACGCTTAAGAATAAATGCTTGAAAAGGATTCTTGAAAAGTACTTGATGTGACGAAGCAAATATTCTGATAGTCGTTTGACAGTATAAGTGACGAAGCAAATATTCTGATAGTCGTTTGACAGTATAAATTAGACGGTTATTGTGTTTTTAATGAAAATTTTATTTAAATCTTGGGGAAATAAAAATCAACGACACTTGAAAAGGACGTTGAATCATTTTCGTACTTTAAGACTTATTGGCTGATCATTTACGGTAGAACTCTTACGAAACAATATCTTCAGGAAGGCTTTTCTTAAGAACTAAACGTTTCACATTTTCATTTTTGGATACATTCCTTGATCTGAAGTTCAGTCGATTCAGTATTACATTTAATGAGATGGCTATAAATGAATTATCATTATTAATATTTTTTCAGAAATTTTGTCTTTAATTAGTATAATGCAGCTGATAGTATTGTGGATGTAACGCTGCTATCTGCTTCCGATAGGATAAAAAAATGTGAATTTTATCTTAACTATGCATTCAAACCAATAGCTACATGAAACAAATAGTTGAAACTGCTTCATGTTTTACACGAGGTACTACATTTGCACGGAAGACGGGCTGGGCGGCCCTTCATCTGAGTTTCAGCATAGCGGCTCTTCAGACCTGTCATTACCTAGCTCCGTCTCAGTTTTGATGAACTCCCAGTGAGACTGATCCGAAAATCTACTACTACTCTTCCCTACTACCAATAGCTAGAAAGAACTTCTGGCTAGACAGTATTCCAAGTCACCATGTCGCAAAGACACTATGCCTAACTCAAATCTTGCGTACTTCTAAGTATGTGGTTCTATATGCTTCGTTACAAACAAACTGTTAAAAACCTGTATTTTTAGAATTGAAGTTCGAAAATGTCTTTAATTCTTCCATATTGTCTCAAAGCTATGATTTCTTATTCTGCAAATGTTTTTCAGCATTTAAAGCATATTGTTTCAAAATTATGACTTCTGATATACATGCCCTTTTTCATCAAGAAAAGGCTTCAGTATTTCTGTATAATTGCTTGATTTATTTTCTTAGATTCACTGAAGGGTTTACTTACAAAGCGCGCGTGAAGATACGCATAGGAGTCGAAATAATATATCTGCTGGAAAATAAGATCCCCCCTTTTTTTGCTATATTTTTGTTCTGAAATTTGGAAATAATACTGATCGGGTATTTTAATAAACGATTTTACAGAATGTGCGGAAGAGTTTAATTATCACACTGTATAGAATAATTACACCGTTGAAATATATAGAATAATTACACCGATGAAATATATAGAATAATTACACCGTTGAAATAGATAGAATAATTACTATATAGAATAATTACACTGTTGAGATATATAGAATAATTACATCGTTTAAATACTAAATAAAATCGCTCAGGAATTACCCACAGCCGTAGCTAGGATTTTCAGCTCCAAAGAACAACTGAAGATTTTGCGCCCTCTTCTGCTTTTTATTTCTTAAAATTTATCCTAAAATAACGGGGTGTTATTTTTGCGACAATATGACATTTTTAATTGTTTTAAGCGCTTGTGGATTACAAGAGTAAAGAAAAATTCTACACACTGAATTAAGAATTTCGTATTAAGCGTAAATGTTTAACAAGCATGCTATTGATATTTTTACGTCTTTGATGAGAAATCTAAGGTTTCGAGAAAAAAAATTATAACAAAAAGCTATGATTTATTTCATGTAATAAATTTCCTTTCCAAAATTAAGTTGTTGTAAACGAATATCAACATTTCTTCAATTTCACCTTCTTTAAATAATAATAATAATAATAGTAATAGTAATAACAGTAATAGTAATAATAATAACAATAATCAAATAAAAACTTTGTAGAATCAAGTAGATGCAAAGTCAAGTGCAAGTGCTGGATATGCACCTCATATTTTAATTACTTTTCTCTTAAAATATGCCACACATACTTGCCGTAAAAATCGAAATTTATATAACAAAGTAATATTTTTAACTCTAAGAAGCCCAGTTTCATAAATATGCTCCTTAACTTCATTTTATAGATGTACAAGATGTTTTAAATTGCAAAGCCAAGAACTTATATTAATTGCTAATATTTATTTCACAAATCTTTAATTAGAATATTTATTCAGCTCACAAATGTAAGTAACAGAGTTGTGTTGTACTGATGTTTCACATTTATTTTTCCACTTCTCTTTTATAAAAACCATGAAAAATATGATTTTTTAAGATTAATATTGAATTCAGCAAAATGAATCATTTTATTAAACCTTTTCATTTTATTGATTCATGATTCATGAAACAAAGATAACGTAACGGAATTTACTTTCATGCATTTCATCTTCATAAAATTATTTTCTTAGCTATTTTTTAAGTAAGAAACATGTAGCAGTAGTCCCTTATAACGTGCGCGTTTGTAATTTTGTACATGCGCAGCGTCTCATGGCATCCCTTGGCACACAAAGACAAGCTGTTTTGAATCATGTTGGCAGTGAATCACGCATTCTGTGTCGCATGATGGAAATGTTTAAGAAGATGCAGCCATTCGTCATCAATGAAATAACGTCTGTCACTGGCTTCGTAACGTCAAGAGATGCGTCTCCAACAAGGATTCATCACAAGATCTGTTGAGTTAAAGCCCGAAAATGTCTTGAGCCCTGCTGCAAACTATCATACTTTGAAGAAACTTCGCAACGCAATCCTTAATAAACGCTGCGATATGCTATTCATGAAAGTTCTGTTGTTTATGACAATGGCCTATCTCATTAACCCCTTAGACCAATATACATATGTATCCAATGTACCTATACCACCAATGTACCTATGTATGAAACTTTTTATTAATTGTATACTGAAGCATGCACACGCCCTTGTTTGGCCACGTCAATACCACATATTCTCCATTAATATATTTCCGATGCAGCCCTTTCAGGAAGTCGCCAGGGTTGTGTTGTTCTAAATAGGTGCGGGTACCGGACGACACCCGATTTGTCATATTAAGCCGTCCGGGTGTCCGGGCCCTGCATTCACCTGTCACCTGTTTATGACAATGCGAAGCCTCAATATTATTAAAATTATTATCATGACGACGCTTTCATAGGTATCCGCCAAGGAGAGAGATACTTTCATAGAAAAACCTTTTTAAGGTAAACTGTTTCGTATCTAGTATATTGCAAATCGGGTAAACTACGAAAACTCCTACGTACCCAGCCATTTGGCCGGATTTGAACTTTTAGTGTTCAACTTCTTAACCACTCGGCCGCTGTTGGACAAAGACTCAAGTTGCCACTCAGATGCAATCTTTAGGCTGGCGGTATTGGACGATCCCCGTACGACCTCGATCTCGCGCCAACAAATCACCATATTCCTCTGCATTTGAAAAAGTTCCTCGCAGGCTAGTCTTTACAAAACGAAAGAAACGTTAAAATGAACTCTGAGATAGTTATTCTCGCACTTCTATCAAAGAGGTGTTCAAAAAATACCCGTAAAAATAAAATAAAATACCCGAGGGTTTACCAGGTAATTTTTTATTGTAAAGTTGAAATTACTTAAAAATATCATTTGTATTTAATCTTCAAAATAAGATGGAAATTTGTCTTTTTATTCTTCCTGTAGTGGGTCATGGACATAGTGAAGGCACCAGAGCATTTATGAATTGCATACATGAATTAGTAGAAGACTCCGTCAGACACATCAAGCTTGTCCAAGAGGAATATCCTAATCTACCTCTTTTCATTTGTGGTCATTCTATGGTAAGTAATGTTTTAGTCTTACTGACAGAAGAAATAAAGTAAAATCATGTTTATTTATCCCCTTGAATGGGTTATAGCATAAAATGATGGACATCATAAAAGAAAATAAAGAGTTACCTTCCCAGAATTACTTTCAGGAATTTTACGCTTGAAGTTTAAATTCACTTTTTTTCTTGAAATTTTCATTGATTTTGTATGAAATTTCTTTAATTGGGATTCCTTATCATGTTGTATCAGTGTATGATTCCTTATCATGTTGCATCTTACAAGTACATGTCATTAGATAAATTACATTTAAGACTTTTATAATTATCAATGCGGAGTCACTTGGAGGTTTAAATCACATAATAAAATAGGTTGGTGATTATATAAATACTATAATGTTTAGTAATTAAATATACTGTAATGTTTGTAAGTGCTTTGATGTTACTGTAGAGTCTCGTTTAGATTCAAAAATATTTGTACAGAAACTTATTAACATTAAAAATATCATTTACATATTATTACGAAAGCTTCAACACATTGTTAAACAATAAAAGAACTGCTCTCAGAAGATGTCAAATAAATTTTTATTTTGTACATTTTGAACTACAGTATACATATTCGCTTGCACAATTTGCAATTACTTCCGAAATGTTTATTAACTATTTACTGTTCTAAATTTCAAATTTCAGTTAATTAACGTTTAGGAAAAAATATGGAAAAATTTTACTTATGTTTAAGCAGAATTAATTATATTTGTAAAAATATTATTTTTAGTGGTTTAATCATTAATGAAATGGTCATGTGGGAAAATGAAAAGTAATTGTGGTGTAACTTTTGTTGGCACTATCTAGTGTTCTTTAACATTCGTTCCTTCATTATGATATCTTGATGAATTTTCTTATTCTTTGAATACCTATATATCCACTTTTAGTAGTTTATGAGTATTTCAAAAGTAAAATAACGAAAAAAAGCTACCTAAGGTGGTGTAGATTTGTATTTGTATATTGGCGTGCTTCTTCCCCAATGAGATACAAATACAGAAGCCACAAAGACTTGGAAGAGAATAAACGCTTTCGATGATGAATAAAAACTTAGTTGTCATTCATCATCGTTATCATCATCATCATCGTGCCTAGTTATCATCGTACCTAGTTATGATAAATAATCGCAAGTTTAGAAAATGTTCAAGGATACTTTCTGTTCATGGATAACCAGTCGACAAGACTTATGGATCTTCTTTAAAATTTTTGAAATTCTTAAGGAAAACGGAATCTTTAATTTAAATAACCAGCTATTTTTATGTTATTCCTTTTTCGTCGGCACCAAACTGCAGGTTAGGATAAATTTAAATAGGTACAGTTAGAATTGGGCGGGACACCAGAATTTCACCATTGGTTGCACACGTATAGTCCCACTGCATTAAATGTGTTGCTCTGCTCCAAGTTTGATGGAGAACGTCCCATGGGATAGATCCGAGAGTCTCCCATCCCTCATCGTTTAGACTGGAGAGAACTTTCAACTGTCCAGTATTTTGAGTGTCCTCATGCCTCCCATAACACTTACAAATATTCATACCTTTTCCGGAATTCGAAACCGAGACGTCGGATATGGCAACACCGTCTCGAAGAACTATCTAGAAGGTGTTGGACATGGCAACCAGCACCGCTAACCACTCTACCGATCAGGGCGGCAATAAATATAAACCGCAAGTTTGAAAATAAATATAAACATGTTATAAATATAAACATGGCGAAGCAAGGTCGGCATCTGTGCATTCCCGATGGTACGTTAGTTCTCTTAGGTGGACGGGAGGCACTTGTTGCAGACACCCATATTATGCAGAACATATGGAAAATTGTTCTGTGTCTAGCATGGCGATGTTGGTGATATCCGAGAAATGGCCGGAGCCGAATTCTATTGCACCAGTGCTAACTAATTCTTTTGTTGGTATCCGAAGTTGAAGATGGTGTAGAGGCATTTCGCTGGGTCTTGGCAAATGTTAAGCTCCGCACCAGTGTTGAATAGCAACAATCCGGAGGGCGGTGCAAGAGTTTTTTACCTCTCTTTCCTCATCACTAACCACTGGACAGAACTTTCAGCTTGCCGTCGATTTTGAATGTCCCCTTGCCGCACAGACACCAACAAGCATTCATGCTTTCTCCAGGATTCGAAACCAGGTTTCACGATACAGCAGCCAGTGTCACTAACCAATATAGCAATCGCGGCGGCAATAAATTTAGTACAGAAAGAAGCTAGGCCAGCACCTCTGTAGTAGCACAGGTAATTGAAGTACTGCTGCACTTAGCTAACTGTTAAGCTTCCAGGTATGAGTAAGAACATCCCGGTGTGTTCCGAGCGTCTCCCTCTCCCTCCTTCCCCTACCATCAGCGTCTACCAAGGACTTTCGGCTCGCAGTGTATTTTGAGTGCCCCCATGCCGCACGGACACTATACGTGTACAACCATTCATGGCTTCTCAGGGATTCGAACCAGGTCCCATCGGTACGGCAGTTAGTCTCTCTAACTACTATACGGGCTGATAGGCGTTGACCATAGCAGCTAGACAAATACTACAGAGAAGAGGATGTCCTTGAAAACTCTGACAATTTAGGCTTCCAAAATTCAAAATGTTCATTTAAATGTCTTTTCCATGGCGAAAAGCAGATGCAACTAGTATGAAGAGAGATTTGACTGGCAAAGTTTGAGCATGTGTAGTGATTCAAGGAATTCTCTGACCCCGCGTTTAGGTAGTCGCTACGCAGGTGACGGTCGGTGATATGTTACGGTAGTTCTAGCACTACTAGGCTGGTGAGACCTAGCCAAAAAGGAATTGATGATTTACTCAGAACTACAGTGAAGGAAAACGTTACCCGTACACCATGAACAAAATTTTGAAGTTAATTTATTTTATGCTAATTTATTTACAATCATGCAATTCACTCGTATGCAAAATTAAGGGAATTTATTTAATTTTATTTAAAATAAATGATAATAATTTATAATAATATAATTTATATAAAAATTAAGAGAATTTACGCATTATGTCGAATTACTGAAAAACTAATGGACAGATTTTAATGAAATTTGGTATGAACACATATTTATAACAGATGAAGTCATTTAATAGACTCATGATTATCAATAAAGCTCACAGTGCAGTGATGTCTAAAATCCACATTCTAATATCGAAATGGAAATGCGTCTAATATAAAGTATAGTCTCCTTTCAACAGCCAGAAAGGTCATGCAGTATGATGACATATTGGACAGGAGGCAGCTGAGGGTCCCTGTGACAGTCGATCCCATTCCTTCAGTAAGGCAATTTCAGACTCCGGGATGGTTCTCGAAGAGGGATCGCGAGATGGAATTGCTCTCCCAAGAGCATCCCATGCATGCTCTATATGATTAAAGTCAGGAGATCTGGCTGGCCAATCCATACTGCGAATATCCTCCCTTTCTACGTAGCCCTCGATTAGCTGAGCCCTATTTGAACGAACATTATCGCCCATTAATAGAAATCCAGGAACAGCTGCGCTTCAGAAACGTCGAATGTACGGCTGTAAGATCTTCTTTCTATACATCAGAGCAGTCAGGGAGCTTTTCTCATACGCAAAGCAGGAGTGTGAAGTCATCCGCAAATCATTACATTTCACCAGCGTAATGATCCTTTTCTACAATAAGAGGGATGGTGTCGTGCTCCAGGCTCTCTCCAGATACAGGTACGCCGATAATCAGTGTCCAGGCTGAATCTTCACTCATCTGTAAAAACGACGGTGCTCCACTGAAGTCTGGTCCAAAGTGCGTATTGCGAAATAATAGCATTTATTAGCAGAACTGGAATTTCTGAGAATTTCAGAATATATTCCACAAGATTTGGTGTTATGATAGTGTGAAAAAACCCACATTCTATTAAGTTTTAATTGGATACTTTCGATGACATTTTAAAAGCGAGTTGACTTCATTTTGAGGGTCCATAATCTAACAATTTGTTTAGTGCTTCAAGCCCCCCATACTTTGTTTTGAAAATTTCTGATTTCGACATTCGATATCGGAGAAAAATCTGTCTGAGTGAATTCTCACCTGACATATGAAAGTGTTTTTCTGTTGATTTCGAAAGCCTTCTGGAAGTTTCGAAGGTTCAAGGGCAAAGTGCAAAGAATGTGACCAAAAAGAATGAACGCTAGACCTGACGCGTTTATCGCAGGATGTGGTGCGAAATAGGATTAGTTACCGGTTCATTGAGCTCTGTGATGTCTACGTGACCTGAGGGAATTGGAATTACTACTGTGTAGCAAACTTCACAGCTTTTTCGGTGCGTTCTTTGAGATGGAGCGGAAGTTTTTTTATTAAGCGCAACTGTCTTTAAAGAACTGCGTCCGAAACTTGTGACATACTCTAAACACGGTGCTGTTTTTTAATACGCAAATGATAACGTAATTATGCAATGGCATTCTTCCAGTTATTTATTTAAAAATTTCATGCTTTTTATACACAAAAATCAGAATTCTGACGTACACTTTTTATGCTACTTACTTTCTAAGAGTAAGTAACTGCTGCTACATTCAAGTATATGCATCTGAATGAAGTACCGAAAGCATTAAATAGTGATCTCTGAATTTTTAACTTTTTCCCCGTTAAGTGCTTAACATAAAGTACCTATTCCCTTAACCACAGAAGCAATATCAGAAATTGCAAAGTAATTCTCGATGGTTTATTTACAAGTACTTTGTGCTTTGTGCGAAAATTGAATGAACTCTGATATCTGTTCAAAACATATTGGGTCAGTCCATAAATTCGTGCGCATTTTTGGTAAATTTTAAAATAATATAAAAAATACAATTTAACAGTTTAATCAATTATACATTTCCCTCCATTATCTACAATGTCTTGCCATCTTACAGGCATCTTTTTTATGCAGTTGCCGTAGAAAGACTCTGGTTTTGATGCAAAAAACTTGAAAGTTCATTGTGCACATTCTGTTTAGAATTTAATTTTATTCCCTGTAAAAAATTTTGCAAGGCACGAAATAAGTGAAAATCACCTGGGGCAATATCTGGGGGAGTAAGCAGTATGTGACAAAAGCTCCCAATTACATTCACTAATTTTTTACAGCGTTGTTCGAGCCGTATGCGGTCTAGCGTTATCATGATGAAACAACACTTTCTTGATATTCACCAATGGTGGGCGTTTTTTGATCGATTCTGAGTTTAGACGGCAAAGTTTGTTCACTATAAACTTCTGAATTAATCGTTTGATTTGGTTCTAGCAGTTCAAAACGCCCTGAACGGGGTTCATCATCAATGCTGTTTTTTCCAACTTAAAATTTTTTAAACCATTTCTGGGCAGTCCTGACACTAATAGTGTGTTCAGCAGGTACACTATTAATTTTCATCGCTGCAAACCTGGCAGATTCACCGCACGGAAAATAAAAAATGTAGCACAGCACGTTTGTACTGATTATCTATATTCATCTTTTACGGGTACTAAAATGCGTTCGATATTTACGAAAGTTGGTGATAAACTGAATAATGTGCTAGTCAAACGATGACAAGTTTCAACAGATTCGAAATTGTGTTGTTTCAGTAAATGCGTCATAGTGAATTCCACGCATACTCTTAATGCGCAAGAACTTATGGACTGACCCGATATTAATTAACAATGCGTAATTAGTTAATCGGAAAGCTTATAAGGTACTTCTACCGCCTTCTTAGCATACCTTCGCAAAGTAGCGGTTAGCACGCTCGACGAGCATTAGAGAGGTCCGTGGTTCGATTCCCAGCGAGGGCGTTGCTCATTTTTCACATCTCCCGCTTCCAAAAAATCTTAATGACTCTAAAGTGGTGCCCGAACTAAAAGGGTGGTGGATGATGATTTTCCACTCTCAGGATTTGGGTATTGGGTTCCTTAATCCCCAGTCCTCCTTTAAAAGGGGGAGTGTATAAGGTATTTCTCCCGCCTTCTTAACACGCCTTCGTAGTGTAGTGGTCAGCACGATCGACGCGTATTCGAGAGGTCCGTGGTTCGATTCCCGGTGAGGGCATTGCTTGATTTTTACATTTCCTGTTTCCAAAAAATCCTAATGACTCTACAAGCTGTCATGAACATCTTATGAAACAGCGTCATTAAGTGTGTCAAGAAGGCAAATTTAAATGTATTTCTTCAAAAAAACCCTACGAAAAATATGTTAGGGCTTGTTTTCTTCGGCAACAAATAACTGCAGATATTCTATTGGGAGGTGCTTATGTGGTAGTTTTTATCCTGTGGCAGAGGTATGAGTATTATCACGTAGGCACTGAGTGAGGGTTCTTTGCATTCTAAACAGTTCTATAAATTATTTGGCAAAATCAGCTTTGACATGCTTATATGCGAATATATACGGCACATTTAAAGTAAAGCAAGCTTATATGCGAGTATATATGGCACATTCAAAGTAAAGCAATCTTATATGCGAGTATATACGGCACAGTCAAAGTAAATCAAGCTTATATGCGAGTATAAATCAAGCTTATATGCGAGTATATGCGAGCAATCAAGCTTATGTGAGTTATTGACTCATTACTTTCGTGCTAACTCTGTTGAATAAAAAGCTGGGCACCGTAAAAGCGAAGGATCTGAAATAGCTTAGAGCTCACCTCTAAGAAACAAGCAAGGAAATCGAATCTATCCTTCTTAATGTAGTCGAACTGAAACTGAAGCAATGGAAGGAAGGACTCGATTTAGCTAATTTTGATTTATCGAGAAACGTTAACGTTAATATCGACCTCTACATTTTAATATCCAGTTAGACTTATAAAAAATTTCATCTTAATTAGAAATAATTTTAAGATAGGTAATATTTAATAAGGTAGGTAATGCTTAATGTTAGCGCATAAGTTTAAGGTTTACGTAATAGCGCAGGTAATGTTGGAAATACTTTGAAAAAACATAGCAGAAAAGTTACAAGAACCACTCACTGCCTTCTCCATGAATGTAACAGACAAAATTTAATTAAGATAGTACAGATTTTAGAAATTCAGTGATAAGATGCAGCCTTGCAGAATTAGAAATTTTTGCAATCTCTGCTTAAAATAATAGTTTTTTACAGTATGTGACAAATAAAGAATATGAAGAAAGAAAATTTCTTTCTTCTGGTGAAGAAAAAAATTCTTAGCTAGCTATAGCAGAGTTAAAACAGATGTCTGTTTTTTTCCAAGAAATATTTCTTTTATTTACTCCACACGCTGGGAAAATTACATAAGAGAAATATTTACCTTGAAGTTGCAGAATACTCCTTTTAATTTGTAAAGAATTAATATTAAGCACTGGCATTGGCATTAATATTATTAATATTGCCATTGGCATTAATATTATTAGTATTTGCATTGGCATTAATATTAAGCACTGGTATTTTTTGGATGGTATCGGTACAAATTACATAATATTTTCAGGGATCTTACACAGAATTGCGCCATTTGTAGTGCAGCTGCAAACTGTGAGATCAATCATGCGGATTCTGACAGTTGCTGCAAGAGGTATAAAGCGTCTAGACTATCCTTAACAGAAATGTATATTTCATTTTAGGGAGGCTCCATTTCGCTGCTAACATCTTTGGAGAAAGAAATCGAAGTGAGCGGCGTGGTGCTGATTGCTCCAGCTCTGGCGCCAAATCCGGAAACGGCGACATTTTTCAAAGTAAGTCTCTTTACAGTGCTAAAAGTTGCTGACGCATTTATATGCTTCAAAATAGAAGATTACAAGAGCAGAAAACCAATAAGAGTAGAACTCCCAGTTTTCATCTCAAACAAAAGCAAAAGAGATTCAACCAAATACATGATTTTACTTTTAGGTACTCACGGTGGACATTTTTATTGTATGACTTGAAATTTGTATTTTATTTTATTGCCTGATTTGAAGGTAATAAACAAAATGACTATATCTGAGTTCTTAGAGCGGATCCATGTTTACGGAGTAAAAATAAAAATTTAGTAACTACGGTTTACAATAAATTGAAATACTAAATGAAAAAAAAAAAAAAAAAGGGCTAGGAACTGCATTTTTTATCTATCTCAGAAAATTCCTGACATGCTGACAAGCACTGAGTAATCCGCAAAATTGGAAGTGTGCATTTCTAATTCGAAATTCAGTATGAACAATACGTGACACTTACAACTCATGTGTAATGTGAGCAGGAACCAGTTTCCGTTAAAAATCTTTGAAAGTAAACTTCCTGTGCTAAATAGACCTTGTTTATTAAAATAAATTAGCGAACAATCCCAAATTTTTTTTGTTCATAAGGAAAGTTGTTTTTAATTACATGATCTCTTTATCTTTTGTTTTATTTTTCAAATCAACGTCTCTCCATAATCACTCAAAGGAAAAAAAAAATCGATTCTTTTATCATTTTCAACGGATGTTCCATCCTCTGAAATATCTATAGCGCTATAATGTGGACATTATGGGAAAGGAATAATGATGAAACTGAAACGGATAAACTAAACTAGGTTTGAAAATTCAAAACTAAAATACTTAAAAGAAATTAGAGATTTATTGAATTTTGAAAATTGGTGTCGCGAAAGAAACTTTATTTGATGCAAAAATTAATCAGAATAATATTAAAATGCAGTCAGGCAGCAAATGATAAGTTGTTTTTAATTACATGATCTCTTTATCTTTTGTTTTATTTTTTTCAAATCAACGTCTCCTCCATAATCACTCAAAGGAAAAAAAAAAATCGATTCTTTTATCATTTTCAACGGATGTTCCATCCTCTGAAATATCTATAGCGCTATAATGTGGACATTATGGGAAAGGAATAATGATGAAACTGAAACGGATAAACTAAACTAGGTTTGAAAATTCAAAACTAAAATACTTAAAAGAAATTAGAGATTTATTGAATTTTGAAAATTGGTGTCGCGAAAGAAACTTTATTTGATGCAAAAATTAATCAGAATAATATTAAAATGCAGTGAGGCAGCAAATGATAAGTTGTTTTTAATTACATGATCTCTTTATCTTTTGTTTTATTTTTCAAATCAACGTCTCTCCATAATCACTCAAAGGAAAAAAAAAATCGATTCTTTTATCATTTTCAACGGATGTTCCATCCTCTGAAATATCTATAGCGCTATAATGTGGACATTATGGGAAAGGAATAATGATGAAACTGAAACGGATAAACTAAACTAGGTTTGAAAATTCAAAACTAAAATACTTAAAAGAAATTAGAGATTTATTGAATTTTGAAAATTGGTGTCGCGAAAGAAACTTTATTTGATGCAAAAATTAATCAGAATAATATTAAAATGCAGTCAGGCAGCAAATGATATAACCAACTAAAGTTAAACAACATTCGATGTACATTTACTTTGTGTTGACTAGTGTAAAGAATCCGTTTCACATTCAACAAATGATGCTTACAAATTTCATTTGTTTCACTAACATAATCTTCACAGACATACACACACACATACGAAAAAAATAAAGTAATGGAAATGCTGGGAAAATAATAATATATAAGATAAAGTCTGAAGTGGAAATTAGACTATGAATATCCGTTCATGAAATAATTTGTTCTATATTTCAAAACAAGTCTTCCCTTTTCAACACTTGAGATGATAATTCGGGGTATGTTTTTGATGTCGTGTAAAAGAAATTCTGTAAAATCTGTAGGAACACTTAAATCATCTATGCTATCTGGTTTCCGTGTGGAATCTTGAACTTACCTTCTTATTTGATGAACAAATAACTTGAAATATTTTAATGAAGGTATATTGGCGCTGTCGTCGCAGGTACTTTCAAGAATCGGAGAATGATGTTAATTAGAAAGTAAACGGGTGTATTAGAGGTCGTAAGAGGAGATATATTATAAAAGAAAGTTTCTTTAAGGTCTCATTAAATATCAGCATATCAAGAATAAAAACTAGAATGGAGCTATAGAGACAGCACTCATCTCTTCTTTACTGTAAGTCAGTAGTGACCATAATGTTTACATGGTACCAAAATGAATGCAAATTATGTAGGCTGCGAAAAGTTTCGAAATACTCTTTTTCTTTTACGTATTATTTAACAGTTTAATAATATTAGTACGCCCTCTTTTGGATTATTAGACGAAGCTCTCACCGATATCTCAATACTCAGAAATCGCTCTGAACTAAGAAGTAGTGAGAACAGATACTTTCTCCGGCCTTATAGATATTTTTCACCCGGCTGCCGAGAAATCTCTAGTAAATTCTATTTCACTAAATTACTGAAAAGCATATACGTTTAAAGTTACATCTAAGGGCAGGATACGGTTACAGTTACATACAGCGACCAATTACATTTATTCCACTACGATACCCATTACACTTAAACAGAGACCGGAACCAAATGTTGCCAAATTCGACGACAAAAATTTGTCGCCAAAACTAGCTCTCGCTTGGCGATATCTTGCCAATTTAGCAATTTTTAGAAAGATAGCCATTTAGTCAATTTAGCAAGATAGCCATTTAGTCAATGTTAAATAGACTTGTGCCTATTATGGAGCATTACATATTTCAAACGGCATCACCTTGAACTGCCAAAGGCCGTCTTTTTTTCTGTCGTCAGGGTGTATTCTACCTGCCAATATCCACTCTGTAAATCAAGTATCGAAAACCACTTACTTTCAGAAAGAGTGACCAGAATGTCCTCAGTTCTACGAAGAAGGTAAGGTGACCGTCTTTCTTCATAACCTCGTTAAACCGGCGATAGTCAACGCAGAACGTAATTGAACCATATTTCTTTCTGACCAGGACGATCGGAGAACACGAAGGACTTGCTGAAGGCTCGTCAACGCCACTTTCTTGCATTTCTATAGAAACTTTCCTTTATTTTCCTGTTTAGCAATCGGTAGACGTCTTGAATGCTGCTGAATTGGTGGATGATCCTCTGTATCAGTTCTATGTTGGGTCATACTCGTTCGACATACATCAAGAAACGAGCAGGAGGAAACATCTAGAAATTCCTGAATGACACGTTCGGCAGTAGTCCTCTCTTCCTCGCTTAGATGTGCATTCTGCAATAACTCCCATATTAGGTTCTCCGAAGACACAGAGATTCGGCGGACTTTTATTTGGTCGGTTAATACAGGTCACTGGAGTACATGGCTGCAACCACTTCGCCTTTTCTAATGATTTTCATTTAATCACTGACGATGGCAACTGTCACCGGGATGACGGTTATCGATAAGTCGAAGCGTTCCGAGGTTACTAGCACTTCTCGCGGGGTGATACAGTAACTGGAATATGCCATTATACAGTACTGGAAATTTCTGTTTTCGGCTCTAGATCCAGGAAGTAAACATTCTATTCTTGTTGGTACTGAGATATCGTCTTGAGCTATGATTTGGTGGAGCAGATTTAACTCGTTCATCATTAATTCCAATTAAGTTTTATATCCTAAGAAGTACAGTGCAACTCGTTATTTTTAAAGTCCAAGGAAAAATTATATTTCTGTAGAAAGTCTATTGCGAGTATGCAAGGTTCTGTAATACATGCTATATCTGCCGTGTGATGGTAGGTGGAACTTCCAAACTTGATGTTAACATTTAATTTTCCATCGGTGTCGATTTCATCCCCCGACACATTCTAGAGTGTAACACACGGAAATATCCAGGTGAGTTTACCTTCGACTTGTTGAGCCAACTCTTTCCGGATGATCATAATGTTGGCTTCAGTATCGACGGTTCATATTGCTAGGAACTCCATTGCTTCCTGACATGACGGAAAAGTCCATTACTCCAACCACTCATTGCTGGAATCTGTAGTGCCTCAAAACGGTGCTTCTCAATATCCGGCAACCTCCGCTCCGCGAGATGGTTACTAATTTGTTTCCTGTATTGTTGGTGACCAGTCTTATTTTCTGTGGCCTTCAGCATAGCAGTTCCAACACCTTCGGGTCGGTTTCTTGTCACACCAATTCTATTTTTACATAGTTTGAAGGATATTCGCTGCTTCTGCTCTAGAGAAGCGGCGAGATGGCGGGTCTTAGCTTGGAAACCTGATCCATTTTCGTCCGCCACTATAGAAAACTGAGTCTGGAGGTCTTACCATCATACGTGGGTAGCTTTAGGAACACTTCCGCATAAAACAAACATTCATTGTTTGATGGATAATAGCAGACTTTTACGCAAAATCACATCTCGGCTATTTTTCGATAACTAACAACAGCGATTTTGATTATGAATTTGTTTTATAAACTTCTAATCTGTTGAACTACAAAAATATAGATTTTAGAAAAAAAGTATGTTTAAAGACTGCAAAATACCTAGCATTGCCTTTAAAATTGTATACGTCTTACGATACTCTTGATAGAGTATTCCCTATTTTTATTTTATGTTACAAACACCAAAATGTCTTAAATAAAATAATTTTTTTTTTGTCATCCACATATTATTGTAACATGTACTTCTTAAAAATTTTTAGAGGACAGGCTTAACAGTTGCTCATTTCAAACTCATAATTTTATTTTTATATAATTGAAAAATAATCACTTTGAGTTTACACTTTGGGTTAACTAAAAAAATAAAATTACCACCAAATGCTGGAATCCTTGTCAAAATTAATAAATATACTCACAGAAATGCCAATAAGTTAACTTTTCCTTGATTTTCAACTACAAATTTGTGTAAAATTATGTACAATTTTACACAAATATGTGGAACAGACGACAGACACATTTGCGAATTCGGCGGAAGTGCCATGCTAAATTTTTGCAAATTACTTTACTCGAAAATATAGTGAATGCACCGAAATTAAACATTTGCACATGCCGAAAAGGAAAAATATGAAATATGTAAATGCATATTTCATATTTTTCCTTTTCGAACGAAATTTATGCATATGCATATATCTGTCTTTAACAAAATACGTAAATATTTATTAAATTATTTATAAATGTATTTGAAGTGAAAGATTTCTTCATTCATAAACTCGTGTGAAAATTACTGTGAAGAAATCCAGTTATTAAATATATCTTAATTTGTAATGATTATAAATATTATCTAAATATACAATAACCTCATTGAATTATAAACATTAACTGAAATTCTGTTATAAATGCGTTTATAAAACTATTTAAGCAAGAATTGTTCGTACTGAAAAGCAATCTGTTAAAAGTTATTGTAAAGCAAATTCTGTGAGATACGTACTTAAGGAAGTAGTAAAAAAGAGTTTTAGAATATGTATTGTTGAAATTAAAGGTAAAAAAGAATCTGATAAGTAATAAATGAAAAGAGTTATTCTCTTACGTTTTATAATAACTCAGTTACAAGTTTTAAATAATATTTAAAAAAACATTTTTTATTCCCTTTCAGAAATATTCAAAGAAAGTTAAGTACATGAGCACCATATTTAACGTATTTCACTATTAAAATAAAAGATGCTCTAATTTGAAATGGACTGACTAGGGCATTAATTATAAATTGACTCAGGTTTTCGGCATAAAAGATGCCTCAGAAGCTAAAAAATCGTGTCATGTTCGAGAAAGTATTTTAGGAAGAAGTTTTGTAAATAGAGAAGAAATAATTTTAATATCAATACTGCAATAAGCTCTGATCTTAATTTTTGTAATCCTTAACCAAATAAAATCGAATTACCTTAAAATTTTTTTCTAATGTAATTAACGAAAACTTGTAAAACTATTTCATTCAAATTAAACTGTTTTGAGAGAACTGTTCTGTGAAAAGTATAGCATTTAATGCAGTTCAGAATGAAATGTTGTTTAAAAATGTATTCTTTTCACATACTTAGGACTCTGAAACATTGTAGAAAAAGAAAATGTATGCATTTATGTGTAGATTTATGACGTAATTACAAAATGTTTACATCCGATCGTGTCAAAACCCATTGGTCTCCACGAAGGGATCGCCAGTGCTTCAAAGCAGTGTATGGAGAAAACCAGTTAGGACCTCTCCTTTTACTTCCTATCTCCATGGTATCAACGTACTTTTCATATCCCTATTTACGTCACTGGCAGTAACCCCAAATCCTCTCTCACTGTTTTAAAAAAAGGCAATTAAGTATTAACGTATTCCAGATAAAAAGAAAAAACAATAGTTGTCACTGGACGTTTCAATAGGGAATTGCCAATAACCAAGTTGTCATGGCTTTGGTGATTAAAAATTTTGATTTCGAGAATTTCAAGTAGAGAACCATTTCAGTGAAAAATAACACTTATTTTTATTAATTTTGATTTATGCTTGTATGAAAAGGAAACTGTCATTTTGACGATCTATAGAAATTTCAATGGTAAATCTTCTTCAGGGAGTTTCAGTTTCTCCTGAGAGTTCCTCTGATTATGAAATGTTTATAATGCTATTCTGCGGTGAAAAAATATTAGAAAAATGTAGTTACTGTTTTAAATACGTAGACTATGTTTTACGTACGTATTTTGTGTACGTGAAATCCGACGCCGCTTACATTGGTCATAGTGCATTGTCACCTTTCATCTCTCCTACAAAGTCGCAGCGTAGTTTATGATACGTATTATACAGATCTACAATAAATGTGCTAAACATTATCTAATGTGAAAACATCTTGGAGGGTCCCTCTCAAATCTGTGGGTGTTGTGGGGCCCCTAACCCAACCTTGTATTAGGTGTAGAAAATGTTTTTGCTTTTCCAGTCTAATTTATATTTCAATAAAATTTTTTGCAAAGGTGATTGTTAAATCATATCCTCATACGTAAATGAAATTATATAAAGCAAGTGGTGGAAATACATGTTTAATGGTTGAATTTTGCATTGCAGGTCATGGCCGTAAAATTGCTGAACAAGTTCGTGCCACACTTTCCAGTTGCAGTCTCAGATTTCGGTCTCAGTTGTCAAAATGGAAAAAAAGTTGAAGAGATGAGAAATGATCCATTAAGACATCACGGCTACTGGAAAGTGCGCCCTGTGATGTGTCTGCTAGAATCCGGACGGGTAATTTTCTATTTTTCATCCAGATCATTTTTCAAACTGAATTAAAAACATTTAACAATTAAATTAAAAACATTCAAACATTTAAGCTAACCATTTGAAATTCCAGATGCCATTTGTATAGCTTTAGACTGTGAATGTACTTCCCGGCACGTTTAATGCACCATTAATATTTTAAGCTAGTACGTTTAAATCTTGTGAATTACGTTGTTATTTTTAACAGAACTGAACTTCCCTGATTTTACACTCTGGAAAAGGAAACTGTCATTTGACGATCGATAGAAATATCAATGGTAAATCTTCTTGAGGAAGGTTCAGTTTCTGCTGAGAGTTCCTCTGATTATGAAATGTTTATAATGCTATTCTGCGGTGAAAAAATATTAGAAAAATGTAGTTACTGTTTTAAATACGTAGACTATTTTTTACGTACGTATTTTGTGTACGTGAAATCCGACGCCGCTTGCATTCACGGCGTCATTCCGTACGCTTCATAGAATGAGGTTAAAATAATTCCGCTTACTATGAAAGGTGGCCAGTCATCCGTTTCTAATAGTAAGAAATGTAAAAAGGGTGGGTATACATCGCCAGAAAGTGGTGACGCATTGTGGCAAAAGTAAAGGAAGTGAAAGGTGAAAATGGATTGTTCAGGGAAGTTTATGACACCGATTAGGTATGGAAAATGACTGTCAATAACTTGCTATCATCACTGGCGACTGAGTTCTAGGAGAAAGGTATGCAGAAATTTGTTGCGCGTTACGGCAGATGTTTAAGCCGACAAGGAGATGTATTTAAATTCAGAAAATAAGTTTTTGGAAAATATTATTTTTTCCGTTTTTCCGTTTTTATTATAAAACGGAACTTATTTAAAAACTAACTTATCAAAGCTTAACTTACTTAATGCTGTTTGTTTAAAAACTTAAACGTACTTATCAAAGCATAATTGCTATCGATAGTCTGAGTAATTTAAATTATTTTAATTTAAATAACTTTTTATTTAATTTAAATAATTTTTTTGCGATCTACATTTGCAAGAAAAATACGAAGCGCATATTTAATAATAACTTCTAAACCTATAGATATTTTAAAAGTTGCTGTGAAAGCAGAAAACGTTTCGTACAGATATTTAAAAATCTGATGCGGATACCATATGACTTCCTTGTACGGCCTATTAAATTATACGCATTTTTTGCTGACTTTCATTTAAGCTTATTTACACAAATTAATCTAACTTAATAAACCCATCTCTCAAGGCAAATTGAAATTGACATCAAAAATTGCAAATTTTGAAATTATATGCCCCTGCCAATTTTCGTCGTACGAGAGACAGATTTCTAATTTTATTTTTTTATAATGAGCATAAAACTTTCCCAGATATAAGTGTAGAAAACGGGAGCACGTATTATAAGTTAGATTTCATTATTTGTCAAAAATAAATTTTTATGAAAGGTGTGTATACTCGGCGGTATATATATATATATATATATATATATATGTATACCGCGGCAGTTTATATACTATATATATATATATATATAATTAATAAGCTAGGTGGTAGGTACAATACTAAAAGACCAATTTGGTCAAAAAGTTTGCGCAATATGCTGCAAAATTAAGGAAATGAGAAGAGAACTTGTAGATAGCTCGCCAAAAAGTTACCAGGAGATGTGGCTCCAAGAAAAAGTTCAACACAGTTTTTTAAAAAAACAATGACATTGAAGAGGTGAAAATTTGGGCTACACGCGAAAGAAAATGTAAATTATAAAACACAGTAAAATACTAATCGTTGGATACATTTTAAAGGCAAAAAAAATACAGTAAAATACCAATCGATGTGACAAGTTAAAACATATAAAAATCAATCGATGGAGCAAGTTAAAACAAATAAAAACATTAAGCGGAATTAAATTATTAAGCGGAAAATGGTAAATTAGCTCAATTCGAGGTCCAACCTGGCTTTTCAAGGGAAATTTCTGGTTAAACGTCGAACCAAGCTAACTCCATTAGGCGTTTCGCTGAAACAGACAATTGAAACTTTTACGTTACGAAAATTTTTTTAATTAATTAGATAAATTGTCCTAAAAAAATTTTTTAGTCTCAATTCTCTGTTCCAATTTCCCGACGCGTCCGCACAAAATGACACATTAAGGTGTAAAACAAAATGTAAATGCAACTCCAATATACAGCAATAATAAAAATAATAATAAATAGCGGTCTGCTATTAGTCAAAATATACAATAACGTACGGGCTGGACCTGCAAGCTTAAAGAATTACACCTTTATAAATTTTAGAAATCTGAAATTAAATTTAAATGAAATCTAACAGCGTGGGTCTTGTTAAGACGAATATATATATATATATATATATAATGCTGTTTGGTGCAAGAAAAATGTGCAAAAAATTTAGATAGTAAATCAAAATTTCATGTTGCTCAAATATAACTTAGTTGTGCAAACAAGGAAAAGAAATGAAAAGTTTTTTGATACTGAACGCACGTAATTTGATCACACTTGAAAATCTTATTTTTGATACAAGAAAAACCGTATATTCCGGCTTATAACGTGCACTTTTAATGCAAAATGTATGATCGAAATTTACAGACGCACGTTATACGTCGGGTATAAAACTGATAAATACAAAATTAAGAAAACGGTCGAGCATACAAACATTTATTTCTACATGCACCTGAATGCTGTTTGTTTAAAAAAACTGACATTCCTTATGAACTTCTAATCTCATAACATGAAAAGTTCGTCATGTTCGTCTTCCGTTATATCTTCGGGTATATCATTGAATTCTGTTTCATCTTCCCCACCACAGTTATTCTGATCTATAAATAAATAATCATCTTTTCCTTCTAGATTGATAGGTAAACTATATTTTTAATGACTTTTGCATTCTAGCAGGTTTAATTTCTTTCCATTCTTTAATTATCTTCTCACACACTGTTTCTAGACTGGCATAACTCAAATAAATGTTTTAGACTCAAATAAAGAATTTGTATCTTGTCTCCTTTGCTTTCTTTGCCTTCGATGTTCAAAAATCACGGCTTCAGATGATTACAGAAAGAGAAAACATCTAATTACAGAAAGAGAAAACAGCGAATTCATTCGGGTCGGCTTTAGATTTTAGACTAACATTTAAATTTTAGACTAACATTCTTCTGCACATTTGTATTGAATACAAAACATCCTCTTCGCAGAATAATTTTTTCCTCAAGCATTTCCCTCCCACACATATTGTTCCCTTATCTCTTCTCAATTCAGTATAATATCGTTCGAAAGCCTGGGACAAATTTTCGAATGTTTGATTTCAAAAGACAAAAGCATCGCGTATATATCTTTCAGGTTTCATCATAAAGAACAGAGTGCGCGAATATACCTAAAAACTAAAAAATATAGTTTGAAATTATGAGCGCGTTACGTATCGGTGCGCTTTATGCTCTGGAATATACGCTATGCAAATTATTTGCCAGATATAACAACTTTATAGACAAAGAAAGCAGAGTTTAAAACATAAGTTATCCCAATCAACAAACATTTAAAGCGCAATTCAAATAACAACATTTTCATGTGAAATTCCATTTCTTAATTTAAATTTAAATCAAACTACGCTTCTATCCCATTAAAAATGTTTCTGAATTAATTGCATACTTTCATAAATATATTCTATTAATAACGCCCAATAATAATTTTACAGAGAGAAAAGGGAAAGACAGACAATTAAAATCTTCAAAAAATTTATAAAGAAGGAAAAGAATGTATTTTGCGATGCATTTGAATAACGTTTAGCCATACAGAATGAATTATCAAGAAAAATTTTTTCAAAGCACTGGGAATTTATGCTGAATCTGTGCCGCTGAATCTATCTCACAGATTTTTAATCAGTTTATAAGGTATTTCTCTCGCCTTCTTAGCCTGCCTTCGTGGTGTAGTGGTCAGCACACTCGGCGCATATTCGAGAGGTACGTGATTCGAGTCTCGGCGAGGGCATTGCTCATTTTTCACATCTCCTGCTTCGAAATAACCCAGTGTCTCTACAAGTTAATCAGTTTATTCATATTGTTAATCAGTCTTACAACAAAAATCAATGCGATTTGCAAACGTTTGATTTAAATCATTTGCTATTTATTCGACCTAAAACTCAGTAACAAACATGTGTGTTTCTCATACGCAGTGGGAGAAAATAAAGGAGTTTTAATACTAATTCAGTGTAGAGTCATTAAACTTATTTTGGAATAGGAAACTGGAAAAACATCGATGCCTTCGCCGAGATTCGAATTCCAAACCTCCCGCCTGCTAGCCGAAGGTGCTTCCAATCACATCACGAAGGAAAAAGAAGGAAGGACAAGATTTCTGATATTCTTCCCCACTTAAAGAATGACTAAGAAAGAGTGGACCAAGGTGGTGACAAATTATCGTCCACTACATTTTAGTTTGGGCGTCATTTGTAGAGTCATAACGTTTACTTCGGCGCACGAAACATGAAAAAAGCTCAACGATGCCCTTGCTGGGTTTCCAGTCCCGGACCTTCCGATTGCTAACTGGACGGCATTTCAATTACATCCCGAAGGCTGTATGAAAAGAGAAAATTCCTTACAAATACTTGAATACTGTTGTCCTTTTTGTTAATATTTTTGAAAATAGTTTGCATTTTAAAATTTCCAATTAATCTTTACCTTCCCCTCATTTCATTTGTAATTTCTAAGTGAAGGTATAGATGGGTGGTGTATGACGGTGTTGACTACAGAAGAAAGATAAGGGGAAGAACACTGATTAAAATTTTTAGGAAGGAGATGGTCTGAAACTAAGGGAAAACGCTATAAGGTATTTCTCCCGCCTTCCTAGCGTGCCTTCGTGGTGTAGTGGTTCTGCACGCTGGGCCGGTATTCCAGAGGTCCACGGTTCGATTCCTAGCGAACGCGTTTGCTAATTTTTCATCTTGCCTGCTTCCAAAAATATCCTGATGTCTCTACAAGGCTTAATATCCAGATACGCAAAATATTAATTCAAAAGTTTTTAATGGTACGTAGATATAATTATAGTTTGTTCAGCATAGTGTTTCATGAAGTTTGATACATATGGATGCATCTGAAATTTGAAGCAATGAAAAAAAGTTAATTGCATATCATAATGAAACTGTGATGATGATTATTACATCGTAAGATACAAACGACATGCTTAAATTTTCAATAAGTGAAAAACTCTGAAGGTATCAATAATCAAACAGCATTGTTGGAACGACAAACTAAAAAAAAATTCTTTCTATTTAATAAATAGTTTTACATATAATATGCAATTTAGTACTCATATGAAACATGGTTATACATATGGCATTCAGTTTTGCAAAATGTAGTAATCTCGATTGTCCGAGGTAACTGGGATCTAGCGACCTCGGATATTCGAAAACTGGATTAATAGAGACTAAATTTTAAATCAATGCCAATTTTGTTTTCACAAGGCTATTTTAAATTCTACAAAGAAGTGCAATAAGTGCAATTGTTAACATTTTGGAAAACTCTTTTATCAGAAAATGAAATTTGTTTCTTTCAGTTAAACAGCTAATCCATAGATTTTTTTTTCAGAATTTATTTATTAGTTTTAAAATTTGTTTAGTTAATTTATTTAGTTTCTTATGTATTTGGGAAAAATCTGGAGTAAATAAATGCCGTCAAAATTTTTGCAAGCTGTGAAATTTTATGAAATTTCTAACGTATATTTTTATGAGGCGTTATATTATTTTTTTAGTGCTACCTTTTATAAGACAGCTTTATAACTGTCAGCCGCCTCACGATCAGCTAGTTTCTGATCAATAAAAAAACTGAAAAGATAAGTTTCACGAGATTCCTATAGCTATTCAAGAACTTAAAGCTTAAACAGAGCTAATTTTCGAATTGTTCGTTTCCGTTTTATCGTCATCCTCAGCGTCGCTCTCATCACTGCAACTTGCATTTTTCTCCGGATCTGCGGCGTGAATGATTTCTTCGTAATCAAAACATGAAAACTTGGTTGTCTGTTTTCTGCATTTATCCATTCCGAAATATCATCTTGAGCTATGTTTTCGCATCTTCTTACACTTTAAAGTTCTCATTCGGTGTTGAGACTATTAATACTGTCATCGTCTTGTCAATGTATATGAGCTACATCTTTTACTGTAATGCAGAATAGGAAGGCCATTAAGTGATACATCACTTATACCAAAAGATTAATCACTAAAACCATCACCAAAAGATCAGTAACTGATAACATAATTCGAAAATGTTTCTAATTTCCGTAGCACCATTTCGAATGTTACATTTTCCCAATGATTCCTTTAAACTGATCGGCCCACCAGCGGCCGAGCGGTAACGTCGCTGAACACTGGTAGTTCGGTCTGAGGTTCGAATCCCGTGAGCGGGCTGGCTGAATGGACGTTTTCGTGGTTTTTCCCATGTGGAAACGTGTATACGAGCCGGTTCCCTTAAAAAGTCCTCCACGAAGGCATCCCTCCCTTAAGGCAGATAGCCCTCGAGTGCTTTGCCGCAATCTAATAAACCTTTAAATTGATTGTCGGTTTCGTTAACAGTGACCTTCGCTGATAGAGGCCCGTTTAAGATAAAACTCAGAACATATTATCAAATAGTTTTTTTTTCCAGAAAACTCTGTCTTCGCATCAGAAAATATTTTTTTTGAAAAGAGAAGATATCTTTGTAAAATGGATCCCTGATGTTCGGATAGAAGAAATGATGATATTGAGGGTATCCGTGAAGGATTCTTATGGCGTCTCTGGAAATCTGTGCAATCACGATAAAATTTAATATGCCAATTTCAACGGTACATTACATAAGGTTTGTTTAACTGAATATGGTAAAGTAGACGTGGGTTATATATCTAAGAAGAGGGATGCCTTCTTGAAGGATTTTATGATTTTGCAAGGGAACTGGTTTGCATTTTTGTTATCCATGCAAAAAACCTCAAAGACATCCATGCAGGGAGCCCGTTCACTGGGAAGTTTCAAGGTACACAAGCCCGTTCAAGATACACGGAACTGTACGGAGAAGACTGTGGTTGTATCTATGAGGTTCAAATTAAGTAAAATAAGTGAAAAAAGAAGTCATTCAGCCAGCTGATAGTCTGATGGAGTGGATTTTGCAACCAATACATTAAGAATAAAAAGGCCTAAAGTTATCCGTCAAAGCTTCCTCCGACGTTTCAGGTATAGTGAGTCACCATAATCTGTCCCCATTTGGTGATCTTGGCATGTCTATTGGATATTGCTGTTTTACGTATACACTTATCACTTATCGTCGATCTTTACTTTTTCTCAGCAAAAACAATCACATGAGTCATTTATTTGAACTCCTTGGTAGGGCTAGAGAATATGAAATCCAGTTAGTTTACGTGCGTTTAAATGGGAGATTCGCAAGAAGTTCTTAAAAGAAGTGTTTTGGTCTTATTGGATATCTGACTAGAAAAGAAAAATATCTTCGCAATGTGAAAGCATTCAAGAACAGGATTTGCTTCCTCCACTGCAAGAGCGTCATCGTTCACCCTGCAACAGGACGGTACACATCTCACTAGGCAATCATTTTTGTGACGATCTAAACGATTGTTTCCCAAGAAGACAGACCGGACGAGTTTGTCCAGTTCCTTGATCTTTCAAGGTTCTCTTTACATGCTTCTGAATTTTGTATTCTTTTGACGATAGGAAAGACATTGCTTATACGGCGTGAGTAAGAGACATCATTTAATTGAAAGCCAGAATAAGCAATGCTGTGGATGTTCGCATGCTTTCTGAACCTAGCAGGGAATGGGATGTTTTCTTGACATTCTTCGTGACAAACGGAGCAAGAATACAAATGCTTACTAATAAATAACATGTAATTTTTAAAAATAATTATCCGTCCATAATTTGTTAATTAAATTTCTGTTTCCTTTCCATAGGAAATCCTAAACAAAAGCACAGATGTAAATTTTCCAATTTTAGTCCTTCATGGGGATAATGACAAAATCTGCCATCTCTCAGGAGCCACACGACTGTATGAGAAAGCAACTTCCTCGGATAAGACTTTAAAAGTGAGTATTCTTGTAGTACGATTTGTAAAGTTTGCTTTATCTGAAGAGTTAGTCTTCAGCTACTTTTTGTATTTCATAAATGAATGATTTTCTGAACAAATTATTTTACACTAGCAAATTTATTTTAAAAACTACAAAAAAGTCCAATTTTTGTTTACACAAGAATAATATACATGATGTTAAAAAGAATAAAATCACATTGAAAGACAAATAAACTTTAAAATTAAACCATACACTTATCATTTGTAACTATTATTATTATGAAATGTTAAAAAAACGTGTTCAATTCACAAAATTCCTTTTCAGAATAAAAATAAAACCACATCATCGAATTAACCAAACCTAGAATTACTTAAAAATCGGGGTAGGTTTCTTCAGCCGTAAGACAGTAGAAGCAAGTAATAGAAACAAGTAATAAATTTCTAAACAATAGAAGCAAGTAATAAATTTCTAAACAATAGAAGCAAGTAATAAATTTCAAGACAATAGAAGCAAGTAATAAATTTCTAAACTTGCAATGCCTTATACTGGGTCAGTCCATAAATTCCCATAAATTTTTTGGTCAATTTTTAAATAATATATGAAAAAAAAAAAAAAAAAAACCACAATTTGACATTTTAATCAACTATATATTTTCCTCCGTTATCTACAATGTCTCGCCATCTTACAGGCAGCCTTTTTATGCCTTGCCGTAGAAAGACTCTGGTTTTGATGCAAAAAAAACTAGAAAGTTCATTGTGTACATCCTGTTTATAATTTAATTCTTTTCCCAGGAAAAAATTTTGTAAGGCACGAAATAAGTGAAAATCACTTGGGGCAATATCTGGGGAGTAAGCAGGATATGGCAAAAGGCTCCAATTAAATTCACTAATTTTTTGTAGCGTTGTTCGAGCCGTATGCGGTCTAGCGTTATCATGATGAAACAACACTTTCTTGATATTCACCAATCGTGGGCGTTTTTTTGATCAATTGAGTTTTTTTTTTTGGCTTATTACGTACTCCGCCTTTAGGCATTACACGGAAAGGGAGGGATGCCCCGTGGAGGTCTTTTTACAATTCTGAGTTTAGACGGCAAAGTTGTTCACTATAAACTTCTGAATTTATCGTTATGTAAGGTATTTCTCACACTTTCCTAACGTGCCTTCGTGGTGTAGTGGTTCTGCACGCTGGGCCGGCATTCCAGAGGTCCGTGGTTCGATTCCCGGCGAAGGCAGCTGCTAATTTTTCATCTCTCCGGCCTCCAAAAAATCCCAATGTCTCTACATTTTGATTTGGTTCTAACAGTTCAAAATGTCCTGAACGGGGTTCACCATCGATGCTGCTTTTTCCAACTTTAAATTTTTTAAACCGTTTCTGGGCAGTCCTTACACTTATAGTGTGTTCACCATGTACACTATTGATTTTTATCGCTGCAAACCTGGCAGATTCACCACACGAAAATAAAAAAATGTAGGACAGCACGTTTGTACTGATTATCTACATTCATCTTCTATGGGTACTAAAATGCGTTCGATATTTACGAAAGTTGGTGATGAACTGAATAATATGTTAGTCAAACGATGACAAGTTTCAACAGGTTCAAAATTGTATTGTTTTAGTAAATGCGTCATAGTGAATTCCACGCATACTCTTAAAGCTCACGAACTTACGGACTGACCCTATACATTAAACTTTCCTAAAAGAAAATACTTTGCTCATGAATATATATGTTAATGAGTGTGTATCAGTGTGCAAGTATGTGTAAGATAAAAATATAAATAAAAATTCCCACTTTAATTTGCAATAGTCCCTTAACTTTCAATTTTAATTTGGTTATTTCCCCTTTCAATTCTAAAAATAATAGTAGCTGTTAGTAATAAAGTTCTCTAAATTGTATCATTTCAAATTTAATCCATGTCATGAGAATCTTGCATAACGTAAAGGACGCAAATACTTACATAACGCTTCAGCCAATAATAATTCTTAAACTTGGAACCGAAACTTGAAATTAATTAATCAAAGCAAAGTGAAACTAAAGCTAAATCATTCTGAGCCAAAGTTTCATCACAGCCGCGTCGCATTCTTTCTCTCTTGTTTCTCTCAAGTCGCTTGTCGTCTGCTATTGCACGTTCTTCAAATATTAAAAAATTTAAACACTCACTTAAGAACGCTTAGAGCCATTTTATCAGTGGTACATCAAAAATGTTTCTCTACAAAAAAATCAAGCTTGTGTCAAGAGTAAAAGTAAAAGTACTGAATCGGCCATGATTGCAACTACTTATTTACACATCTACGTGTCAACATCTAAACTTTTACACTTACACACACATGTACAGTGGTAGAGGGGGTTAGTCTGACCGACGCGGCTAATTTTCAAAATGCTTGGCGGCACCTTTTTGTAAATTGCTCTTTTTTTTCGCCAAGACACAAGAGTGCCTCGACATAAAGACACAAAAGTACGCGGCACTCTTATGGAGTTCACATGGAGGTAGGAAGTAAGATGGAGTCGCCCTAAACAAGTTTCTCCGTACCCTGCTCTGAAGCACCGGCGATCCCTACGTGGTGACGAAAACATTGGGTCATTTACCATTGAGTTCTATGGGATTTGAAGCGTTCGGGTGTAAATATTTTGTAATTACGTCGCAAATATACATATAAATGTATATATTTTCTTTTTCTACAACACTTCAGAGTCCTAAGTATGTGAAAACAACATATTTTTAAAACAACATTTCATTCTGAACGGAATTAAATGCTATACTTTTCACAGGACAGTTTTCTCAGAATGGTTTAATTTGAATGAAATATTTTCACAAGTTTTCGTTAATTACATTAGAAAAAAAAAATTAAGGTAATTCGATTTTATTCGGTTAAGGTACAAAAATTAAGATCAAAGTTTATTGTATTATTAATATTAAAATTATGCATTATTTCTTTTCTATTTATAGAGCTTCTTCCTAAAATACTTTCTTAAATATGACATGATTTTTTGGCTTCTTTTAAATCGAAAAATGTAAGTCAATTTATAATTAATGCTCTATTCGGTTCATTTTAAATTAGAGAATTATTAGGAATTAGCGAAATACTTTAAATAAGTATTTCGCTAATTCCTAATAATTAAATAGGTATTAAATAGTATTTGACTTTCTCTGAACATTTCTGAAAGGGAATAAAATAAGTTTTTTTTTTTTTTAAAGTATTATTTAAAACTTGTAACTGAGTTATTATAAAATGTAAAGGGAATAATTCTTTTAATTATACTTATCAGATTTTTTTTTTTTTTTTTTTTTTTCCCTTCATTTCAAAAATACATTCCAAAACTCTCTTATTACGTTCTTAAGTGCGCATCTCATAGCATTTGCTTTACAATACCTTTTAACAGATTGCTTTCCAATACGAACAATTCTTGCTTAAATAGTTTTATAACGTATTTGTCAACAGGATTTCAATTTATGTTTACAATTCAATATTAAGGTTATTATATATTTAGATAACATTTATAATCATTATAAATTAGATACATTTAATCATTAGATTTCTTCACAGTACTTTCACAGTTGTTTATAAGTGAATAAATTCTTCATTTCAAATACATTTATAAATAATTTAATGAATATTTAAGTATTTTGTCAAAGGCAGATACATGCTTTTTGCAAGCACATGCATAAATACCCATACATATTTCCTATTTATCATTTCCGGCATGTGCAAATCTTTAATTTCTGTGCATTCACTATATTTTTCGTGTAAAGTAATTTACACTAATTTAGCATACACCCGAAAGTTTTACATAAAAAATATATATGAATATAATTTGAATGAAAATTATAAGTATTATTTTTAATACCCACTCAAAGGTCAGTTTTTCTTCAAAATTCCTCCACGATGGCATCTCTCTCTTTAGGCAGATAGCCCTTGCATGCGTTACTCTATTTAATAAAAACTTAATCTGACCTATGTGCCTAATTACAAATATTTTAACATACATAATTTTATATTTACATTTAGCCATCAAGTTTCAAACTTTTCAAATCTTCTAGAAAATAAATTTTGGCAGATCTCTTTTAGCAATTTTCTTAAAATCTATATTTTTGTAGTGCAACAGCTTAGAATTTTATAAAACAAATTCATAATCAAAATCGCTGTTGTTAGTTATCGAAAAATAACCAAGATGTGATTTTTGCGTAAATGTCAGTAAACTATACAAATTGCTATTATCCATCACACTATGAATGTTTCTTTCATGCGAGAGTGTCCCTTTTTCGATTTCTATGGAACTGTCGTGTGTCGAAATACTATCAGAATCTTGTCAAGCGAGCTTCTGAATGTAAACAAAGAACACCCCGTCTGGTGACCCAAGCTTCAAAGCAGTGCTTCACTTCTAGCGCGGAATGGCCCCTCCTCGCTTTCCTACCTCCATGGGAGTTCAGCTTTATATCACGAAGAATGCAACGCCCATGGGAAAGATTTTATTCTGGCGAATAGTCATCGACTTGCATAAAAGTGCCAGCATCTTTATAACAAGGCATTGTTATAAAATCTTCGGACTGTTGAGACATGCAAATTCTTTGCTTTTATGCTATGGAGTAAGGAATTAGATCCAACCATCATGAATTGGCGATGAGCTAATGACAACGGAGTTAAGAAGATGGGCTTAGTACACTCACCTTTAGTTTATGTTTTCCCCCTTTCTTTTGGTGTGTTTGTGTATGGGGGGGGGTTGCAGGTGCACTAAATATTTTTCTTGCAATGGATTAATTGCTTTTTGAGGCATAATTCGAATTTTACAATGATGATTAATGTTTCATCCGATTTTAAATCATCCATATCAGGTGACGATGAGTCACTATGGCCAGTAGCGCCTCGAGAAACTTCCTGAACTCCCGATAACCCCATCTGCCTTTGTACATATATGATGATTTAGACAATAGTTGAAGCTAAATGTTGAAGTCATGTAGATACGATAAGAAGAAGAAAGAAAAATGTCATGGTTTGCAGCCAGTTAGTCTCAGTTTTAATGT